CCAGCAAATAATGATATTCTAACATAACTACATGAACGACTGAAATGATGAATTGATTATTAAAAATGAGTGATTTATTTATTTATTCAGTCAGCTAATCATTCAGTGACTAATCTTTTCAACGCTGAATGCATATGGTAAAACGTGCTCATGGGTATTTTGGCTTAAGGGATGCTGTGTTTGCTCAAGGCTTTCTTTCTTGTCCTATGTCATTACCAATTCACTAAATCGACTGTTTTGTGCTCACACTGAACTCGGTTTAGTCTCTCATTCATTCACATGTTAGCATGATCACAATCCCTCCACAAATGGCTGTTGAGTTCACGAACTCTTCCTCGAATAGCCACGTCTGCAGGCACTAAATCAGTCGGTCTTAAAGGGGGAGAGCGGTATGCTCCGTCCTTCCAACAGTAATATTGTTACATAACATCGGGGCTGTGGACGTGTGTGTGTATTCATACCCAGTATTACAGTATGTGGGTGTGTACATGTACAGCATCACACACACACACACACACACACACACACACACACACACACACACACACACACACACACACACACACACACACACACACACACACACACACACGCATAAAGCGAGGGAATGTTTCTATCCCTTCTGGACTCAACCAGACAGATGTTTTCCTCGTAGAGTAGAACATCTGAAGCACTGGGAACTAGAGGCATGGACTAAATCTCTAAATATTGAAGAATAATGATGGTAAACATTAACACCATCACGCTGTAATTTCATCCCTACTTCCCTGTTTTGTTTGTCGAAACACTCGCAGAATACAGCTGAGGTTTGGATACATTTTAACTGCAGAATGCAAGTGTTGTCTAGCTGCCAAAAAGAGCCACGTAACAAAATGGATCGCGGCCATCTGGAGATACTCAGTCTGTCCACTTCCCCCCTTCAGAGGAGTGCCTTTTGTAGGCTGACCACCTCTCAAACGCACAAAGAAAATGACATTTGGTCTTCAATTTGTCTCCATATTGAGCTCAGAGAAACTATTTTAGTAAATTTTTAGTCATGTGATACTTTATACCCTCCTCAATGATTATGATACAAGATAACAGAGTGAAATAAAAACTATAGACTCTGTACTTTACTGAAATTATACCACAATGCATTGCAGTGACAGTATAATTACAGTAATTGCACTGACGAGCTTGCAGCAAAACTGTCCTTCACCCATATAATTCTCTGATGTCACAGTAAAGTAACCACTTTTCCTCTGCTAAAGTAGCTTATGATGGGACTTAATGACAACATGTTTAAAATCAGCTGATTTCGCTAATAAAATCAATTTTGAGGATGAACGCGGGACCCAACTGACACTATGGGTTTCATCCTCAGTCCCTTCAAATTAGATTAAGTAATGACCAAATGGAGCAAAGCTGTGTTAATTACCATACAAATGGCAAAAATCTATAATTAATCGACGATAATTAAACATCAGAGCATCATGAGCTTGAGAATTATGGACACAGATATGACCCAAATACCCTACTTCTGTAAAAAGGATTATATTATTAGGTTATTTTTCCAGGACCAGTGTTTCCAATTAGGACTAAGTGGCATTATTCATAAAATGCCATTTGGTTGATCTGGGAGCAAGTAGCCTGTTTAGAGAGAAAATTAGATTTTGATCCGCTGTTGGCATACGGCCTTCGTGTTGGGTCATACAGGACTAGAGAGGTGAGAGGATGCAGGAGGACAGGAGGTGGAAAAGCTTTGTTGCATCTAAAAGTAAGATGGAAGGAAAGAAATATGAATATATTCTAGTATTTACATGTTTAAATTCATATGTTTAAGCATTGATTTAAAGCAATAGTTTGATATTTTGGGAAATATCCTTATTTGCTTTTGTACTAAGAGTTAAAGAAGGTTTACACCACCCTCACGTCTGCAGCCGGTTCGCTTAGCTTAGCATAACAACTGAAGATGGGGGAAACAGCTAGCCTGGCTCTAAAGGTAACACACTCTGAGCTAAGAGCTAGGCTAGCAGTTTCCCCCTGTTTCCAGTCTTTGTGCTAAGCTAAGCGAACCAGCTGCTGGCTGTGTGAATTCGTACTGAACAAATACATTTGAGTCTATGTGATATCAATTTTCTCAACTAACTTTCTGCACATTTAATTATTTATTATAAGCTATTTATAATTTTCTTAATGTTAAAGACAACCTTCAATAATAAAAAAAAAAATGCTGAACTGAACAGTGTTGATTACATTTTGAGAGGATTTTAGTCCAGAAGTCTCACGGTTACAGTTGATCTAAACAGGATGCCAGTTGCTAATGCTATTGTGGGATCATCTGTTGTGTCCTACTTTTATAACGGGTCCCCTCTGCTGTCTCCGGCACTGTTGCCACCAACACCACCAGGCAGATAATCAGGGTCCCTGAGGTCCGGATCCAAACCTAATTGCATTTAATTTACTTACTATGGCTGTTAATTCCACAACCTACAGCTGTAGCAGTGAGAAGGGCTTATGCTAGATTTACAGTTAGTTGGCTCTGTCATTCATCATCCTGTGTCCCTTTCCTTTTTCATTTGATGTTTTTCCACTCTGATTTAGTGAGATGCACTGAATCAGCAATGATTTTAAAAAATAACAAAGATTTACAGCTATGTTTTTCCATTCAGGTTACTCTCCATGATATGAATATATAAATTCTTTGTCTTTCTGTGTTGCACTATATTAATCAGTCTGGCTCTAGGGAATTCAGAAACTATTTAACAACTGACAAACACATTGTTTTATTCTTTTTATGCAAATTATTGAGATAAATATAGAGTAACACCAGCGTTATAATCTGCCTTATTTTGCTCTGTGTTCTCAGAGACAGGTGGCATCTGCATCACCCCAAGGCCATCAAACCCAGACGCAGAGATTGTCCCAGGAATGGCTATGAGACCTTTCTTTGGCATCAAGCCAGCGCTCATGGACACTGAGGTGTTGTGCTCATCCGTGTGTGTGTGTGTGTGTGTGTGTGTGTGTGTGTGTGTGTGTGTGTAGCCTGCCATCCCTGCAAATGTTGGATGGCTGGGAACGGCCCAGAGGGAGGGTCAGATTAGGATTATAAACTAGTCACCAGCTGTGTCACTTTTGATACTCGCCCTGCTCCCACCCGTCAGTCTCACTCTGTGTGTGCCAAGCTCCATATTAAAAATCTGTCAAACTACTTTGTGGCTAGTGCAGTTGCACAGATTGTGCAGACAGTTGGGAGTGGTGTCTCTGAGCTGATTTCTTGTCCCCCCTCTGAACAAAGACATACACACAAACACCATCACACAGCACTGTAAGAGATTCAATATTCACATGCTTTAATATCATTTTTTTTTATGTCTTGTCTTGTTGTTAGTTAAATCACCAGTTTCATTGACCATGCAATGCTGTAAATAACATGCACCGAATAATACTTAATACATTATAACACTATCATTTTTGCACTCTTACCATAGTCTTATTTGCACTTGTGACTTTGATTTATGACTCATTCATTATTTTGTTGTTTGTTTCTTACATTAACATTCATCACTGTTTTAACATTTCCTTCAGGGAGAAGTGCTGACTTCCAACCACACATCTGGAGCTCTGTGTATAGCTCAGCCGTGGCCTGGTATGGCCCGAACCATTCATAACAACCACCAGAGATTCATTGAGACCTACTGTCAGCCTTATCCTGGTACAAGAACAAACTGTTTTTATGGTGTTTCTGTCTTCCTTTGTTGTTGTATTGTGGGTGAAGACAATAACTTATGGAAACTTATGGCTGTCACCATCTTGTTTCTGTAAGTTCACAGCTTTTAAATCCCTCTTTTGTTGGAACAATAGGTTACTTCTTTACTGGTGATGGCGCCTATCGCTCTAAGGAGGGATACTACCAGATCACCGGGCGCCTTGATGATGTCATTAACGTGAGCGGTCACAGGATCGGGACCGCAGAGATAGAGGATGTGGTGGTACGGTCAATCAATGATAAACAAGTTATTTTAATGTATCTGAGCATTGCTTGCTACATTCATAAACAAATAAGGGTAACATCCTCATGAAGACTATACTATACTAATTTTAGCTTAAATTAGCAGAAGAAAGAATTCATCTGACAGGAAAATGACAAATATGTCCAGTGGACATGTATTAAAATATATCACGATAAAATCATGAATAAAAATACATTCAAACGTAATATGGAAAAGAGGGTTGAAGTCATTTCTGTTCCATTAAAAGCCCTTTTGCCATTTTTTCCCCATGCTCAAGCAGTTACATATTTCCCCATAAAGTGTAAAGAGGATCCTGATTGTGATTTCTGTAACAGAATCAATGCTCTCAAGTGGCTGAGTCTGCCGTCATCGGATACTCACATAACATCAAAGGAGAAGGTGAGTGTAATTCAGTCAATCTTTTTTAATTTAATGCCACTGTTCAGAATCAGAATCAGAATCAGAAATACTTTAATAATCCCAGGGGGAAATTATTTTAGCTAACAATGTCCATCATAGGAGCAGTTTTTTCTCTCTGTGTTGTCAGGTGTGTATGCCTTTGTGGTGCTAAAAAAGGGTATGGACGTTGAAGAGATGGACCTGTCCCGGCAGCTGAACGACTTAGTGTCTAAAAAGATTGCCAAGTACGCCTGTCCAGACTGCATCCAGGTAAATTCTGTCTCACTGACTTTAAATCGCAAACAGATATTTAAGACTAACTTGTACTCAGTCACTTTTTGACGACTCCCACAGTTCATCCAGCGTCTGCCAAAGACACGCTCGGGAAAGATTATGCGCCGGGTGCTGCGGAAAGTGGTGGAGCAAGACTTGAACGGATTGGGTGACCTCAGCACTCTGGATGATCCTGCAGCAGTTCAAGAGATCATCGAAGGTCACCGCAAGCTCTCTGGTAAACAACAACGATGATGTGTTTTCTGAAAAACATGCTCATCTAAAGAGGAAGATGAAAGTGATGCTTGCCTGTTACTTTATATTTCACTGAACCACTTAGGTTTTTTTTTTTTTATTGTACATATGAAAATTTTAATGCAATCAGGTAAACAACTTTTTATAACAATATGTATAATCCACAGATGAACTCCGCTCTTGATAGTACTAATAATAATATTCCAGATGTAGTAATTGTAAACATAATACAGTAAACAAATGTAATCTTACATAAAGGCAGATTTAGAGTCTTAAAGTGTCCCTTTTCTTCTTTACTGATTTATGGTCATAATAGGTGCATTTATTCTTACAATAATGTAGCCATTCAAACCATTCGTTTGGCAAAGCTTTCAGGTCCAGAACACTTTGTGCGTCCTCCAAACCGCCCTCTTGTTTAAAAAAATGTTGCACTCTGGAGCAACCTGTAGAAAAATGTCATCTTCTTAAAATGTCTGTGGACATGAATACATACAAACTGGTTGTGCACAGTTAGCGACCTTTGCTGGAGGAACTGGTAAGGTAAGCGCCTAGTTAAGAGCACTTGAGTGTCGGTTCAGTAACTGAGGAATTCAGGAGTGTTTTCTGTGCTCAGATCCCACGCCGATGCTTCCTGCATGTCCAGGATTTCAAAGAGATGACTCTGAAGATGTGTGGCTTCTTCTTTCTCCTTTTAACTTAGTTAACTCCCACTGGCCTCCTCCACACAGTTTCAACTGGACATCGTGGTACTGGGAGAAACAGAAAGATACAGTTAATATCCTCCATAGATTTAGACAGACGTTAGAACAAAGCAAAAGGGGTTAGTGGTAAAACGTAGAGGACTGCCATACTGAAACAGAATAATCATGGACTGACAAAAAAAAGCACAAGCTCAACTTTATTCCATTCAGAGGAGATTTTCCATGTCCCACACTGTACTCCCCTACAGGAGCAGAGTCTGGGAGCTGCTTTTTTTCTCCTCCCCTCTCCTCTTGTTCCCCCCACAAGTAATTTCCCCACGGGATTATTAAAGTATATCTGATTCTGATTCTGAGAGAATCTAATACAGGTTTGGGTATTTACTGTAATGAGCACTTGCAGTGTAAAAATTCAATATATCCCATCACTTTTTTTGTAGATTTCACCATTTTAATTTTTTCACGCTGGATTTTTTGGAGCAAAATAACAATAAAGTGACACCAAACCATCCTTCATATTTCGAGCTGTCTCATAAATGCATGTTCAGTCTACCTTCTCCAGGCTGCTACGGTGTCCCAGACTGACCAAAGTCATTCCAAGCTGTTTACAGGTTCGGTACAACTGTGCTTCTGCCTCCTCCGTCAAAGCACTGGTGGCCTCATCCAATACTGCAAAGACAAAGTTGTAGAAATGTAAAGAAACCAACAAGTTTAAAAAAGCTCCAGTCTGGGTGACCTCTAACAGAGAGGACAGGATGAAAAAATGCAAATGTTTCACATCTGAAATGCTAAATTTAGGTGGTAAATCAGAGAGTGGGCGAGGCCAGCTCTCCTGAAACTGCTGTGTCAGAAGAGCTCAAAGTCTCGATTCCTCAGATCGGTTCATGAATACATTACACAAATCCAAAGCAACACACCTGCATATTTAGGCTGCAGGTAGAAGAGTCGAGCAAAACAGAGACGCTGCATTTCACCTGGAGACAGAACATCATACCTGCAGAGAAAAACTAGTTCACACACTGCCTCACATAATACACACATCAATTGTTTCACTTTGTGGGTTTTCTACTTGTATTTCCTCTCTTACCAGTTCCAGTCCACCCTTTCATCCAGCCCACCTGTCCGCTTCAGGAGATTGGACTGGAGCACACATAGAAGTTTGATTCAGGATCAGTGAATGTTCAAATTACCAACACATACAGAGTTTATAAGGAATATAGTTGTAGGTCAGTCACTCACCACTCCTGCTAGTTCTAAGAACTGTATAATTCTGTCATCGTCCACTGACCCTGAAAGAAAGGACACATCATTATTTCAGTCGTTCCTGGAGGAAGCACAAAGATTAATGTAAATATAAGAGTTGCATCTATATACACTGATCTACTATATATGTATGTATCTTTGTAGGTTTCCTTGCTTGAACAACAACTTCTGTAATTAAATCAATTAACATCTATCAGACAGTCAGAGTGAAATCTGATACCTGATTCAGGGTAAATATCCTTCAATGGGTAGATCACCTGTGGGAGAGAGTTCCAGTTAATCCTCATTCAATCTAATCTCTTTCTAATTTAGGTAGATTTCAGCACTTTGGTAAACTTACAACAAGCGTAGCATCTATACGGATGTATTTATTATTTGACACACTTCAGGCTCAACAGAGAAACAAAATAAAAAAAGAGACAGAGACCTGTTCACGCAGTGTGCCATCAGTCAGGTAAGGTTTCTGAGGCAGGAAGAGGGTTCCTCTGGGGCCAAAACATGTGGTCATCTGGACAAAACCTGAGGAGATAAGACGCTGTCATAAAGCTACTGAGCGCAGACATCACAAATCAAGTCTTTTTTGAAATCCTTAGTATGGGTAACAAACAGAAACAGTGATACTCTCTGCACTTCTCCTAGGAAAAGAGGAACAGAAAAGTATCTAGATCACATATAGCTCCCTCTCATCCTACCTAGCCACAAACACAGATCACACAAAACTTGCCTCTCCTCACTGACCACCTCAGTAAAAGAACAGCTTTTGTTGTTTCTTGCCAATATGTCCACATATCTCTGAATATATATTTTCACACATGCACATTCTTCCTCTATTCCTATTCTTAAATACATATAATTATTTCCAGTCAGGTGTTATTATTACAGCCTAAACTGGTCCTGAGCCATGAAACCTTTTTATTCATTACTTCCTGTCTGAATCAAACTTCCTCAGCCTCGCTGCTCTCTTACCGCTGTGTGCCTCCCAGAGTCTGTTGAGGACCCTCAGTAGTGACGTCTTGCCGGTGCCCGTGTTCCCCACTACCAACAGATTTGTTCCCTGGTTGATTTTCAGACTCAGATCCTCCACCAGCAGCTCATCTGAGTAAGGAGATTTGTATGAAAGATGATCCAGGATGAAGGCAGTGTCCACAGGGCCCCCGTGGACATTGAAGTCACTATGTGGAGAAATTTAATAAGAAATAAAGAACATGTGACACGTGTTGTTATAAACATTTTAAACTCATTTTTGTCAAATTCTTTCCCCTTGTCTTTTTAAAATGTAATCTAAATTCTAGCCGTGTGTGCAGTCTCTTATTTGAATATTACTACTTTTTTGCAGCAGACAAACCTGTCAAAGTCATAGCTTTCCCCTGATGCTGGGTCATAGTCACACTGCTTGCGTAGAATGTCATCCATCACCTCCCTCAGCTGCCCAATCCTGACCACAACACACACACACACACACACACACACACACACACACACACACACACACACACACACACACACACACACACACACACACACACACACACACACACACACACACACAGATTTGTTGATGGAAAACTGGATGGCATGCCCAAGCGCTGCTGTCATCATCTGTCCTCCAGGAAGTGATTTTAAGTATGCAGTGTGATACCTGTGGGTGTATCCAGCCACATCTGACAGAGTGGTTGACAGGTCTATTAGCTGCGTGAAGCCATTTATCAAGTAGATGCAGACAAAGGCGTTCTGAATATGAACAAGGAGAGGGAGAACCAGAGCAGAGAGTAAATAAGAGACATGATAATTAAAAGAAGAGTATTAGAACAAAGAACAAAAGGCAGTAACAAGATGACACACTGGACAACAGCATGAAGAAGAGATGACATGTAATACTCAGAAGTGAGGTCTCTGTCTAACAACAGGCACTTGAAAGCGTTTGCTGCCACCTAGTGGTTGAATTAGCAACAGCCATCTATTGTGTGATGGCAACCCTTTTATATCTTTCAAATAAACACAAAGGTAGATGTGGGCACATACTGTGGATTCAATTTAAAATATTTCAAGATTTTATATTTAAATTTGTAATTTAACTTATTTTTAAATTGTTTAAATGAGTGTACTTTTCTTTTCACTATGACATTTATATGATGTGTTTATGTGCTTTTTGCGTAACACTGTGTTTCTGTGCGTCACTGCTGCATAACCACTTTCCCTCTGTTTGGTCTTATTTTTCGATGTGAAGAAAGTTTTGAAAAGTAGGAAAAGGGACAAAAATAAAAAATGCCAACCTTACTGATGAGAGCACTGAGCTCACCAGGAGTGAGACCATCATAGATACCAGTGAAGATGGGAATGGCAATTATGATGTAGCTGAGGAAACCTCCAAGGTAGTCAAAGGTGTTTACCCCAACTGAGAGAGGAGAGGTCAGAAGTTAACATTACAAGTTTAATTAAAGCAATCAAGGAAAGATGTATAGAAATAGTAGAGTGATGTTCTTACTATAAAGCAAGAGCTCTTTGTTTATTAGACTCTTCTGAGTTTCCAACAGAGCCTGCAGTCTTCGGTTGGTCCTCATGTGCTCCACTTTACCAGCTCTTAAATACATACACAGCAACCTGCTTTAACTGCATGATCAGTGTGATTTAATGTGACAGAGTTATTATTAGTATTACTATTATTAGTGTCAATTTTTTTGTACAGTTTCCATTGAAGTTGTACGGCTATAGCTGTATAACTTTTCTGATTCGTGCATGAGACACCAAAAAAAATATTATTATAACATTTATCCTTGTAAATAAATAATGTGTTTAATAATGTGCCTTACCTGTAAAAAGCTGCAGACTCTGCATTGACACGGATCTGCATGTGTTTGAATCTGGAGATACAAAAAAATGTTTTTACTGTTACTGAACAACTTCAGATTGAACACAATTTTCATTCAATTGTTCTTCCAATAACACAAAATAGCACTGTTTAAACTTGTGACAGATGACATTATAATTCCTCTTTCATAGCTGACGCATATCCTGATATCCTGTGTCATTTCCTGAGGCAAAAGCACTGGGCCAAAGTCTACAGAAACTTCCTGTTACAAAGGGTTGACTTCCTTGACAATAAACACCGAAAGGATTTACATCAAGTACAGCTGGCAACATACCCAACCACTGTTGTAGTTCAGGGAAAAACAGTCAGTCCTGCTCTGCTTGCCTGTCAGCACACATTCCTACGGACACACAGGCACTTGGTACACCATGCCTCCCTATGTACTAAACTTACCGGAAGTCTCCCTCCAGTTTTTCTTGCTCAAACAGAGTTGAGACAATAGGCCCCATGAGGATTTTATTGGCAATGGTCCCAATCACAAAGTAGCAAAAGATACTAACAGGACCGATCCAGCCGGTGCTGCAATTCAGAGTGAAAATACATTAAAACAGAAACAAACAACAAGTGTTTAGTGTCGCTCTCAAGTACAAATGTTGGCAAATAGGGTTGTAACAATGTAATAACAGAGCCTGTCTCAGATGCTTTAACCTCTACTTCCCAGTAGGTGTTAAACATAGTACATAGGAGTCTGATATACTATAGTGTTGCTACAGTACTCCACAAGCTCACCTGTAAAAGCAGTGGTAGGTGTAGTAGGCCAGTGTGAACGGTGACACAATCAAACGACTAGCCATGGTGCTCATCTGCTTACACAACCTCTCTGCATCCTGACTGATTCGCTGGTCTCTGGCAGTTAGAAAACAAGAAACCAGAAACAAATTACATTATCCCACTTTTTGATGATGTTTAATATTCTAATAGCCACATGATCAACACTAAGCACACATTTATATTCGTACACTCATACATAGTGATGAATTTAAGTTGCATTTGTGTCTATATTCTTAAAAAAAAAAAAAGCACTAGGTAAGAGTACAAAAATGAAAGCTTACGGGTTGTCGATGTCCTCTCGGAGTACATTGAGTGTGTAATAGACCCGGCCCTGGAAGTAGGCCGTATGGAGGCTCTCAGTTAGCGTCTGCCTCCAGTTAACATACATCTGATTGCAAATGTACTGGTCGAGACTTTTCAACTAGGGGGGAGAGAGAGAGAGAGAGAGAGAGAGAGAGAGAGAGAGAGAGAGAGAGAGAGAGAGAGAGAGAGAGAGAGAGAGAAGTCGTCTATTAGAGAGAAAAAGTAACACAGAGACAATAAACAGCAATTATATGACAAGACAGCAGGAATAAACTATGTGAAATATTTGTTTCTCAGGTTCAAAATCCAAGTATCAAGATCAAGTGTGTGTCTGCAGTAAAATGAACATGTCAGGCCGCCCTGGCCTTGTAAACTCGCTACCGTCTACGATAACAGCCATCTGAGATCAAACATGATGTCACACAATATATATTGGGAAATATGTAACTGATTTAGTTTGAGTACACACATCTAAATATTTCTCTAAGAAGACACTATTGGGATTTAATTATGATAACTGTATTGTTGAAGTAAGACTGTTTTTGTTGGTCTGCATAATATTAAACAAGTCAACTTTCCGAATGTGGTGTAATAAGTTGCTGCTCATAAGATACAGTACACACACACACACACACACACACACACAGAAAATAGTAAACATACACCTACAGTTAACTGGCATCATAAAGAATTATTTATTACTTGATTGATAATATATACAAAACACTTAGTTAATGTATCATCTATATCGAGCTATATTCTGACCACTGTTTGACATGAAAGCTACATAAAAAGCTTGAGTGCAGAATCTAAAAGTACTCATCTAAAAGTTACAGTATTGATACTTTTATCAATACCCTTCAGTCTACAGACCAATCAGAAGCTGGGCACAAAGGAAAATGATAAGAGACAGCTGACTTTGCACATGCATGATTAGTAAACACTTTTTAAAAAAGAGAACAGGAGGATATTTATGACCTCCTGAGGGTCGAACTCTTTAACTATTCTTTGGCTGCTATCATCAGTAGGTCAACTCCTGCCATCCCCCACAGCTCCTTCAACTTACTGTGGAGTTGAGCAAGATCAGCACCATAGCTGTGCCCACCAAACTCCTGAAGCCGGAGTAATCTTTGTCTGCCAGCACATTGTAGAAGTGGCTGGGGAGGACACCCACTTGGTAAATGATCAGCTGCTCTAATAGCAAGGGAAAAAAAAGAGATGTGTTAGCGCATTGTCGGGAGGCAGTTTAAACAGAGACTTGTAAAACAACGTAGGAAAATGAGGCAACCCTTTGAGCTAAAGGTCAGGGGTAAGAAGAACACACAGTATGCAGTCTAGTGTTATCTGAAAGGTAGTTTTACAATGCCACAAAAGGCTCTGTCCATCAAGCATGAATGCGTCTCATGATGAGGCTTCACAAGAGAGACGATTAACTTTACTTTTCATTTCCAGTAATTTGACAGCTAGATGATCTGACTGGGACAATCTTGGCCAACATACGCGTCCTCTTGCACAAGCAGCTTTTGTAACACCAGCACTTACCTGTCAGAGTAACTGCAAGCAGCGTCCCGAACATCAGGACACTTTGACTGGTCCATGATGGGAACAGGACCTTCTGGATGCTACAGAACCGCTGAACAAACTTCCAGTCTAACTTTGGTCTGGAGTCAGCAAGAGAGATTAACATTGTATTAGAAAATGTAAACATGCATGAAATGTTATGAGGTTGTTATGATGAAATTATTGCATTACTTCGCACCAGACATCTCTCCTTATGGCAATACCAACACTTAAACTGTTTAACCAGCCAATACAGTGCTGCACTATATTCTTACCATTATTTTAGTCTTTACAATCACTTGAGAAAGGTTGTGTACGTGTCTCTAATCTCAGAGAAATTACTGTCATTACTTAAACTGGCTGAGGACTAAGAGAAAACCTCGTTGTTATGGAGACTATCAATGAATACATCTCCACCAGTTTACTTGAAAGTGGAGCTTCACTCTTACCTTTTTGTTCCTCGGCCATTTGGCTTTTCCAAACGAGGCATCAGCACTGAGGGCAGCAGCGAGGGGGGACTAATATTATTAAGTTCTTATTAAGTTCACATACGTTGTTTGAACTTTCTGTAACCAGCAGGTCGAGCTAACGTTAGACTCACCACCGTCTCCGCTAGCGACAGCTGTTAGTGAGCGGAACAACGAACAACGAACAACTTCCCTGTTAATTACTTTCGCTGCTACATGAATTAGCTTCTTTGTTGTCTGAGTTTAGCATCCTACGGCCGACCATCACCTTGCTAGTCCACTGCCAATGTGAGTTTTAAGGTGAATGTTTTGGTCGGTAAAAGTAAAAGTCCGGACGTCCGGTTTAATGTTCTCCGATTTTTCAAAATAAAAGGTTCACATCAGGATAAGCTTTTTTACAAACAAACAAAAGTCTTGCATGTGCAGCATTATTATTAAAAAACAGCTTTTTGCTAAATGTTCTTTGCACCATTAGTGTTATATAGTAGATTTATGCTGAAAAGCTGAAAAAATATACTATCACTCTTAAACCCAGGAATTTATATTGTAGGCTATATAACGTATTGTACACCTATGAAGGGATTATAATATATAATAAAACTCCCTTTAGTTTGGTTCTGTGTGCTGTAGCTACTATTGCTAAGGTAATAGGAGCCACACCTAGACAAGTGTTTAAAACCAAAAAGAAGTGGGTATGGGCCTATATGACCTCTGTTAACTGCAGCCATTACCCAGAGTGCAGTTTATGAGAAGAACACAGAGAAGACCTGTGATGAGGCTGGGTGCACACGTGCATTACAATGAGATAAAGACCTAAAACCTTATCTAAGTTGTTCAAAGGTTAAACATGATCGCAATGCGCTATTTGGGTACAGGGAGTAAAAAAACCAATAAAAAACACATGACCCAGTTGTCAAAGAAGGAATGGAGATTACGATCCAGATTCCGAGTACTCAAATACTGAACACACTCCGGTCTACAATCCCATGTGCACTGACTGACTGTCCCTCTTATGTCATTTCCTTGAAATAAAGATACACTCGGAGCAATTCTGAAAATAAAATGCATTTTTTGTTTTGTTTTTTTGGAATATTTTATTCTTGTTTCCATATTATTTCCAAAGGATATATGACAGAAAAAAAGATGAGTTGGTGAGATGGATGGTCTTAATAGACCTATAAATATTCCATTAGTATAAATGATGATTGAGGCATATTGGAGTAAAGCATCATAGGAGCATTACAACAGCAAATAACAAACAATTAAAACATTTAAACAAGTGCTAGAGTCAGTGTTTTATACTGTAGATTAAGGATGGGCAGCAGAAATATCTCCCGAATATGTTTCTTGGAAATCAAGCATGAATGATATAGATTAAGATTTTATCCATTTATTTGTTGGATCAACAATTCAGCCCAAGTTAGTAAAGATGGCAAAATACGTTATCAAAAATATCTGGTATGTTAATGTTATGCTTTAAAATGATTAATCAGAGAGTAATTAACTTACATTTGGATCAAAATTATAAATGCTTTGGAAAATAAGACACATAAATGTACAAAAAGGAGGTGACGAGATAATGCGGACTATGGTAACACAGAATAACTGTAATGACACAACACACCTGCTCAGACAGGGAAAAGCATGAGTCTATCAGATTTAAATAGAAATCACGTAACTATCCCAACACCTGTAAGTATTTTAATGCTTCCAGGCTGATTTGATTTAAATACGGCAACAAATGAGAAGTGAAGTGATTTCACACATTGCTGATTCATGGTTTGGTTTATTCTTAAGAGCATGGAATTCAGCTCAATAACATATGGTCATATATGTTGATCAAATGATGGGAATGTACAATAGATTTCTTATTAGTGAATGCAAGCATTATTACAGTACATCTGATAGATTCTGTATTTGCAAAGTTCCAGTTAACACTTCTATGTGTCAACCACAGGTGCATCTTTAAAAGAATAAGGCTGGTGATCTTCTATATTGCTGTTATTGTCAACAAATCCCACAAAAAGACCAAAACCAACACATTAATCCGTCTAATACTTTACAGCTTCCCCCCCGTCTGGTCACTGGTTCCCAGTGAGGACGTAAATCTTTAAAAAATGGTTCACAAATATATTATTTTCTTCTTTAAAAGACAAAGCGATTCCCTAAATCAGCAGGACACTGTACTTTTTAGCCACTGATACTGAAACAGTAGTAAATAATACTGTATTTGTTGTAGACTATTTTCAGCCACAGATTGATACATATTCGATGTAACTCAAAATAACAGTAATACAGCACTCATGCTCATCATAATGAAGAAACATGTCACCCAGTGCAACAGTGTGGCTCACTGATTTGTTTTTAATAGTTTTCGGACAACAATGGAGCTTTCAGGCATAGAGGAATATTGACAATAAAAACAAAGAATATCACCATATTTGTCCTTCAAATTAGTTTCTGCTGTGCAGAAACAAGAGATTTTATTTTGTGTCAAAACAAGCAGCATGTTTCCAAGTGTAGCCTGCCGTCATCATGGAGATGAACATGTCAGCAGTAAATGACTGTTTGCACACAACACTCAGGCAAGGTTTAAGATCCTAAAGAAGAGAGGCACCACACAGACACAACTAAAGCCAACAACACTGTAGACAATGTAACGGTACGGCAACTCTACTTTCATGTGCTGCCTCGCCTGTCTTACATCATCTGAAGGCAGCCCGAACAGTCGACATAAGAACGGAATAGTCACTGCTTTCATAACCATTCTCGTGACGAGGAGGACAGCGACTCCGACCAGGAAGCGCAGCAGGGAGAGAACCACCAAGCTAGTGCTGATTGTTGGTAAAGTTAGAGGAAGTGAAGACAGCGGTGGATCCAGCAGGAGCCCCAGCTGATGGTTCACATGGGTAGCCAAAGCAGCTCCTGCCCCGGTGCCAAGAGCCTGAGCGGTGTCACCCCGAGAGGTGCTCCAGGAATCCAGAGAGAAAGCCACAAGTCCCAAGCTCACATGTGACACAATGATCACAAGTGGAGCGTAGTGGTCCATCATGTAGAAGTTGTCGATCTTGCCCAGAATTGGCTGGAAGAAGGCTAGAATAAGAAGGCTGTAGAGGAAGCCAGTGATTACCTCCTGCAACAAAGGGACAGCAATTATTGTAAACCATGAGTGCATGCCATGATTTTAATAGTGTTAATAGTGTTGTTTAATAGTCTAGACATTAGAAGTTAAAATCAAAATATATTTTTAAAGCACAGAAACATACTGCAAGTAATGCAAGTCCAAGCCCTTTAAGCATCAGTTGCTACAACACTAATAAACAACAAATCTCTGCTGCTTCCTCTCCTGTAGGTGGCACTACTCTTGGCAACACTTGTAACCAGCTTTTCTTTAAGTCATAAAACCTTTTGTAAAAATCACGTGAGCTGCTGTCTGGTAAACAGGTGTTACTGTTGGGAGGATGCAGAAAATAAACAATATCTACTAACATCAGTTGCCGGGCCACCGAGTCTAATCTAACCTTATCTACTGGCTTTGATTTGTTTATTGGCTCTGCTTACAGATAGATCTCCAATAATCATAAATTGTAAGCTAATAAAGATGAAAAGTTGGACACGACTGTTTGTAATACATATTAATGTCATATATTTATGTTAAAATATGTTTTTAAAAAAAAGAAAATGCATAGATGATTTCAAGTGCTACGACTGGCTGAAGGTGTCCTCCATTATACATCAAAGAGTAAAATGCAGCATTAGGTATATTGGAGTCATGTCAGCATTTACAGCAATAATCCAAGGTACACATGATGTTCCCTGTCACAAGAAATCGAAGGCAGTGGTGCTTTGTTGGAGAGAACCTTTTTAACCAAGCTGAGGTAGACCTCACTGAGTTACATTTCTGAGCTGGGACTATAGGAGTCAGCGGGGGTAAATCACTTTATATTACTACATTTCATATTTCATATTATTTATTTAAATAACCTTACCAGAATAGAATGCATCCCCATATAGACTCTGCTTACACAGACCAGGACACTCCAGCTGAGAGCCACACTAAAGCCAAAGAGGAAGGGATACTAGAAGAGAGAGAGACAGAGAGAGCACAAAGACATGTTTTTTTTGTTTTGTTTTTTCCTTTGGGGTGGGGGGGAGTGGATTCTTCTATAGGTTGACTGTTATATGCTTTGTTAAATTTATTAACATGTATTTTTGTAAACTGTTAAATACATGTCTATAAAAAAAAGAATTCATGTAAACATCACTGTGTGAAAACAAGAGTTTACAGCCATGTTAGCAGCTCTGTGAGGTTGTACAGCAGAGCTAAATGCTAAAGTCAGCATGCTAACATTCTTACAATGACAATGCTAACATGCTGATGTCTGGAAGGTGTAATGTTGACCATGTTCTCCATCTTAGTTTAGTGTATTCGCATGCTAATATTTGATAATTAGCACAAAACACAAAGAGCAGTTGAGGCTGATGGCAATCAATCCATCCAATAATTGTTGGGATATTTGACTCTTATCAGAGAGGTTGACCAACCCTAGAATCACACCACTAGCACACGTACAGGTCTTTTGACACCGTTTATCTTCTAACACTTTGAATCTGCCTCCTGCCTGGAAACTTTTTATGGTCTGCATCTTATCTTGTGTAAACTTCAGTAACCTCTTCCCTGAAATGTTTCAGGTCCTCAACCTTCAACAATCTGTGAACTTGATGACGCCAAGCAACTTGGAGTAGTCAGACGAATGCATTTAAAAAAAAAACATTGGAGGTTCTTAGCCCCTCCTTCCCAGTGGTGACCCCTGGGCAGGGCTCTGTGCTTACATAAACTACATATCTTAGTTTTCAAAGTTTTTGACACAGTAATATAAGAAAGAAAATTAATGCATTTATTTTTTTAACATTAAACACAGTACACATGATGCAGGGACAAGGTCATTCAGAGATTACTAAATCATTTCTAAATACAGGATGTACATGGGACTGAACAAAGGACAGGAGTGCATTGTGGATCACTAATGCATCGCTTTTAAAAACCACATAGAGCCTGCAAATACTTGAGTGGCAATTATGGTTTGATAGCATTTTATCCAATCTGAGTCCTGTATCAAATCTACTTACAAAATCTGATTTCAGTATTGAACTGGCTTATCAAATGTCCGTTTAGGCTTAGCGTTTAACTTTGGAAGAAACTTCAGTTATAAATAACTACAACTCAAAAGATTCAGCTGAAGTCTATAGGGTGAGAGGACAGAAACTTTCAGAATAAGATGAGAGATTTTTCTCTCTCTCTATTTACCCCAACACCCCATATCCTCTCTTTCTGTTTCTTCCTCTCCCTGTAACTTCCTTTTTCTGTCTCTGCCTCGAGCCACACAGTATTTTTCTTTGCCAAATGCACAAACAAGTTTACTTTTCAACTGTACAATTTCCTACTCAGCACATATTGTGGTCACATATTTGTTGTCATACCAGTTCATGTTCTGTATTTTTGTGGAATAATCAGCAGATTCTTCTTCAGATTTATAACAAATATTTAGAAAATACTAATATTAGTATGAGCCTCAAAAGTCCAGTATGAGTCAGGGAACACTGTCCCTCTGGGTGAAGCTGATCAATTAGAAGTATTAACTGTAGTTTGTGTAATGAATTAACCACAAAAAAAACAACATTTAAGTTTCTTTACTATATGCAGCCTGCCTCAGATATGAGTCTGAACTTCTTCCCATGTCCAAGAGACCAATTACAGACTTGCTCCAACACAAACAACATTTAAACTGTGCTTCCTTGTCATTTGTATTCTGTCACGATGTGTGATGCAGGCAGTAGATCTACTGCTAGCCTACATTGTTTATCTCTTGACACAACCATGCTGGTGGAGAATCCAAACTGTAACAGCCCTATCAGTAGATGAGCAGGTTTCATTGCTTTGAGCTCTCTGAACCGGACTCATACTACACTACACTCCTTTCTCTCTCTTCACTCCCGAGCAGTGAAGTAACCCTCCTTTTTTAACCACAACAGACACTCAGTTGTCCATTTGCACAACTGTTCATTTATATTATAGACCAAAATGTTTAAAGAAACGTAATTTGATACTTTCTCTTCCTCTAAATCCAATTCACTAGTCCCTTATCGCTCTCTGACAATCTAAAGCAGCTGCTCTCCGTCTATTTAAAAAAAAAAAAAGACTACCTTTCACTCCTCACCTGCACTCCCCTGACACACCCTGTGCTGTCCTGACAGTCTGTTTAAACAGAGGAACGTTTGTTGTCTTCATACTAGAGCTGGGCAACAAGGATTAATGGTGATTTAAAGGCAGTCTGTGCCTTTTCTTTCCTTTGGCCGGACCCACTGACCCTCCCTGAGGGAGAAAAATGTCATTTTAATTTCTTAGTAGGTCAGGTGCCCTGTGTGTGGGTTTCTTGCAACTCTGGTCTTTTTAAATTTTAAATTTTAACTGAACAAACACATATACTGAATGATGTTGGAAGGGGAAAGATGTTGTCTTTGGGGCCCTTCAGTGTCTGGGACTTTGATGCATCTGGTCATCTTCTCTGTGAGTTATCAAAACATGTTCATATCCTGTGGATCAAGGTCGGACCACTGAATTCTAATGTAACATGAAGAAGGAGAATAACACTGGAGCCGCATGGTGATATTTGTTGATCTAGATCCACCAGGTTGCATTGAGTAATCTGTACACATTTCCAGCTCCAAACTGTACTGCCTCAGAGTTGGATTAACACAGTAGGGGGCCAGGGGGCTAAAAATAATCTGCAGGCACTACTGAACCAAATGTTCCTCCCTCTCTTTGTTGGCTCTTTGTGTGTGTGTATCCTGTTGTGTTCAAGTGCCTGTAAGGTCAGCAGGAATACTTTCCTGGTGTGTGTTTATGTAATTTAACACAACTATGCACCATGTGAGCAGAATATCAACTGAAAACGTAATAAAAATGGTATTAAAACGACATCTTAAAAGGCCATGAAAGACTGGACACAGAGGGCAATAATGGAGGATACACCTTGAGGCCCTTTCAGTTCAGAGTTTCAGAAGATAAAACATAATAATAAAATGAAAACACTTCAAGCTTCAGGGAAAAGGGAGCAGAAGTGCTACTTCACACATGAAAGGCCACATATTTTACTTTTTGGTGTGATTATTGTTTAAACAAAACACATTTGATAGGAGAGAAGACGAATGAGGGTGTGGGTGGCTTACAAGCTTGGCTGGACAATTTCCTGAGGGAAATCCTGTACTTTATATATATCGTGCTTCAGGATTACCGAGCAAAGAAGGGTGGCAATTTAAGATTATTTTCACCATCGATTTCTCTGTGAAACATTTTCCTGATGAATTGTTTGGTCCATAAAAAGGTCAGAAAATAGTGATAAACGTCCACCACAATTTCTCAAATACCAAGTTAACATAATCAAATTCATCGTTTCGTCGAAGCAGAAGTCTGAAACCCCAAATATAAGTTTCATTTCAGACAGAAAAACAGGAAGTGGTGCATTTTGGACATTTTTTTGCCCAAAAAGTTAAACAAGTTACTTATTAACAAAACAGTTTTTGCCAATCAACTAATCAATTCATCACAAACTAATAACAGTGAACCTGGAGCCTTTGCGGCCCCTGAAGGACTGGGTCTAAGCCAACCCTGGCAGGTCTACATCTGCACTGCAACACTTTATCTTCCACCTGTATTTGACACTTTAAAGAGGGGGCTCACCTGCCACCGCCCGTAGGTCAGCATGAAGACACAGAAGGGTATGGCAGTCCCGGTCATGGCGTGTGTGGACGGCATGCTGTACTCGGAGTTGTAGAAGACCTCCACCTTCACCACAGGAGGGGACGCCGGCCGGGACCAGCGGATCATATCCTTGGTGGACTGTCCCACGAACAGGTTCCAGGCCCAGACAACGATGAGTCTCCGGCTGACCAGGGCGTCGATGTTCCAGAAGAGAAAGGGGAAGAAGATGATGAAGAACATCTCGTTGCCCAGCTCAGTCCCAAACGTGAACAGGTAGAAGAGAAACTTGTTGTGGATCAGGAACTCTTGACCCACGTCTCCGGTCAGGGAGTTTCTCCGGAGGGGTTTCGCCCTGACGGTGTCTGACTCAGCACCATCAGGCCCGGCGGTACCGTCGCCCTGCATCCCGTTGACCTGCGGTGCGGACGCATCCCGGGTGGCTCCGTTCCCAACACTAACGTCCGAGCTTTCACCCGCTTGTTGCACCCTCTTCCTCAGCCCGGCACGGTCCGGCTCCGACTGTCCGACCTCCGGTTTGGTGGCTTTAACAGGAAATGTCCCTTTAACGCCGCAGAAATTTTGAAACCTCGCTACATGACAGGGCTCCTGGAGATAATTACACCACTGTACGAACGTCTTTACAAAGTCGTTCGCCATGACTTCAAACGAGCGTTTGGTTTTTAAAATAACAAACACGGTTCTGTGGTAAAAGTGGAGTTCATGTTCATCGACTGGGCTTTACAGAGAAGTGGAGCCCGGTGGCCGCTGCATTCCTCTTTAGCGAGATAAAAAACAAACAACAACAACAACAGTGATTCAACTAACAGCGCGGAGCAGTGACACCTAACTGCCGCCTTACTATCTAACGTTACTAACGTTACTCAAAACACAGACCTTGTACACCGGCGTGGAGGTTTGGGACGGCAGCATCCAAAGTCCGTTACAGTTAACCATTACTTTCACCGCCACACGTCCTTAAACACACAGCCACCAAATAACTGCGTCAGGAGGCCGTTGTAGCCTGTTTCTTCGCTTCTTCCTCTTCTTCGGGTCTACTTCTTCGTCTTACGGGGTTTAATGGCGGTTGGCGAGCCAGGTTATAGGTGCTTTAGGGCCACCTAGTGGACTGGAGTACAGTGGCAGGAGGGAAATGAAATGGTTAAATTCTCTCTGTTATTCTTGATATTCTTTGATAATTAATAAACAACGATAATGAACTCGATGAAGATGATTTCTCTCCAATGTAGATTCTCCAATGTAGTATTGTGTCCCTCATCTAATGTTAATTCACTCATTTATTGATCATATTTGCTGCAGTGTATTAATACATGTTGCATAGTCCACTAGGGCAGTGGTTCCAAACCTTTTTCCTTAAGGGACCCCTTTCCTATTATTCAGTGAACTGACAACCCCTGAATAAGTGACTATTTCATGGATATTTTATATTATATTAATACAGATCAAGTGATAAACTGTACAATTAACCCAAGTAGGTCTTCACAGAAATTAATACAATTCTGATATATAGGCCTACTGTGTATATTTTAAAGTTTTCTTACACCCCTTAAAATCAAGAAGGCCTTGTGGCCCATCTGTGAAGCTTTGGCGGCCCCTAGGTTCCTGTCCCCCAGGTTGGACACCACTGTACTATAGTGCACTACGGGGCTTCTGTTCGATTTCTTCTTTGTTTGAATTAATGTTAGTCGACTAATGTCCAAAATATTCAACTACCACTCCTGCTGGACTTTATTACACATGATAAAAATCTGAAGTATTTTGCAGGTAGATGGCCAGCGGTGGATAAAGTTCTTTGAATAAAAATACTACAAAGTAAAACATCCCATTGCAAGTAAAAGTCACATATTAAAAAATGTACTCAAGTAGCCCTGTAAGTATTATCAGCTATTTGTAGTATCAAAAGAAAAAAATACACATAATGCAGAATGCTTCCTCAGATTATTATCAAATTATTATTTTATCGGATTCTTATGAACATGTAAGCAGCATTTAATGTTGCAGCTGGTCAACATGGAGGTAACTTCTTTGTATACTGTTGGGCAGTATAATATATGTATATTATATACATTATATTTGATAAACTGATCATATGTTTGGTATGTGACATGTTAATCAGCAAGTAACTCGTAACTATAGCTGTCGCACAAATATAGTGGAATAAAAAGTACAATATTTATCTCTGAAATGTATATAGTATATGGTATTAAGTAGCATACAATGGAAACAATTATCTGAAGTACCAATATCTTAATATACTACAGTGATTACATTACTTACAGTATTACAACACAGGAATAAATATTCTCACTTTCTATATTACTTGAAATTTCCTCCATTCTCTTTCTCTGCTTCCATAGTTTGGAGCTATCTTTATCTAATTTGGGTTTATTTCAGACACATGCGTCATATAAACAATAAAATACATACATGGACAAAAAACATAGAGACATAAAATCATTGCATTTCATAAGTCCAAAAGAATGAAAACACATACAGACATTTGTTCCAGTCTTCCCAAAGACAAGATGAATACCTTTCATCACTTGGCTCGGTTAAGGATATATTAACAAACCTATAGGCCTATTTCCTAACATAGTTGCACATATTTTCCATTTTAATTTGTACTTTTCTCATATGGGACATTATTATGAGTTATAGATAATTTAAATAAAACAGGAATTGTAGACCCACATGACTTCATATCATTTATATAAAAATAATGTATATCTAATAATAATATATAATATGTACACATTAATCTAACTACCCCAAATCAAAATCAAACATAGATTTCAGGACAGTCCATGTTTACAGGTCTGAGAAGAAAGAGACAATAATACCAGAACAACACCGGAAATCAGTCGAATTTCCTTCAAAATAAAAGCACCAAATGTAATGTTTTTATTATTATCACGACTGATACGTAATACATAATATTTGTACAAACTATATCCGACAACTGATCTTCATTCAGCAAGTAAAGATTCATCCGTATTGTCTATTAGCCTGCACGTACTCTGACTGAGCTCATCCTGTCCGATCTCAAGCTTGTTGACCAACGTGGCTGTAAACATGCTGTTAAAATGAGAGTTTGGGATATAAAAATTTCCATTTACCTCAACATTAATTAGTCTTTAATTTGTGCTTACACTAAAAAAAAAAAAAAACCTCAGCCCGGAAGCACCTCTTATAATTGTGGTTAACTTGGTAGTCCTGTGGTCCTCGCTCCGATCGGGCAGACAGCTCAGGGGGGTAGTTAACATCAGCACGACCACGGAGCAGCTCTGAGTCTCTGCCCTGAACCCTCATAATGCATGGGGGCAAGAGAGGACTGGTGGCTCCGCAGAACACTTTTCTCGAGAATATTGTCCGGCGCTCCAGCGGTGAGTTTCACTGTAAACAGGGAAACAAAAATTAATGGATATTGATTTGGGATGTCAGTAAAGGTACCACACAGGGCTGCATGGGATGCTAAAGTAAACCTGTAATGTTATCTGTGTGTCTTTAAATGGTGCTGAGACTTTATTGTCATTTCCACTTTTTTTTTTTTTTTTTTTTTTTTTTTACAGCAACCTAACAATGAATTCTGAATACTTGTGCAATAAGTCTCTTGTCTAATTCTCTGGATTAATATGCTAAAATTTGTTGGTTGTGTTTACACCATTATCATTACTCTTAGAAATAGGCAGATTTACTGAAGAGAAAATATTTAGTTTGCTATGTGATTTATGTGAGATTGAGTCCATTCCATGTGTTATTGCTCATTATTATTATAAGACGATTTAAGGGCTATTCTTAAAAATCAAATGTCCTTAATTTCTGATGAGTTCTTCTGGTTGAATGATTATAAAACACTTGAAGGAAGGGAAGCTTTTTTGTGTTGCTGATTCTTTGGTGGCACGGAGATGCCGGCCAAAGTCACACAGTATATATATATATATATTGTTTTACCTGAAGCCCAAAAGTGGTAATTATGTGCTGCATGGTGTCTTTTCAGTGAATATGTCTTAATTATTTTTGAAATGTAATACTCAACAGTGAGACAATAAATATGAGAACAATCTTACAAAGATTAGGTTTGCAAACATTTCAAAGAGAGACAAATAAAAATTTTAGGAGCTGTGTAATGTGATTTGTCCTTATGGTGACTCAGTTGCACTTTATTGTGTTTTATCTCTTGTAGTTCCCATGTTACACTTAATAGTAAATTGTTTTGCAGCAGCATTTGTTAGTATTTGTTGTTTTTATTTCAGAAAGGTAATACTATCATTAAAAATTCATTGTTGGATTGACAGTCTGCCTGGCAGACAGTACATTCCCCTCAGGAGTGAGTCTGAGCGTGTGTGAGATTGAAGGTTTTCATTATAAGTACAGATGAAGAGCACGATGTCAGACAAATTATTAAGAAAGATAATAAACCTGAATTAACTGTCTGAAAAGTTATTGCCCCTCTCTGTAGTACATTTTAGGCAAATTTTGTCACAATAATCAGACGTCCAAAACCCTGCAACAGCCTGCAGAGTGGTTGCATTCATTACAGCATGAACTCATCTGACACTCCAGCATTAAGTTCAAGATAAACATCCAGATGCTTTAAATTTGACCACTTTAATGGTGACTGTTCAGTGTCCTCAGTCTTTTCTCCCGAGTGCAGCTCCCTCCAAACTGTTGTAATGCCAAAGCACTTCATTAATATTTCATTAACATTATGGGTGGAACATAAACATTTCATCAACAACTATTTCTGCCCTCGTCTGATTACCGCTGCTGTTTTAAATATTGATGATATTGTTTCTTTTATATGTGGTTATCAAAAGAATGTTAATATTGGGAGAGTTTGCTTTATAGACTATTTCAGGTGAAGATTTACACACATGCAGAGGTTTTCTCTAATTCATGACACTGGTCAGCGAGAATTATAGCAGACGGTAAATAAAGAAAACATCAAAATATCAGATTTAACCAACTATTTTCTTATTGGAATTTACAACACAGCAGGCAAAAATATCAATCAGTGGCATTACAGGAGACTTTTGACTTGAAAATACTTGATAACACAAGTGTAAAGAAAAAGTATGTTCTTTAAAAATTGTGCCACAAATAAGTTAATTTCCGTAAAGCAGCTAACATTAAAACCACTTTAAAGTCAATACTTAATTGCCCAGATCCACTTTGTTTGAACCAACAGCCTCCAATCAAGTTGCAGGATAGAACCATGAAGAATAAACAGTACATGAGTTTACTTGTGTGTCACTTTGAAAAAATTATACCAAAGATCATTTTGTTTTATTTGTTCTGTTGTTAAAATGGCATTACATTTGGTGAGGAGCACATTATTACTCAAAAACTCAAAGTTTAGGACTTACTTGTGATTTGCAAAACGATGACTTGGTCCCACCTCTGGGTGTTGGTAGTGACTACTTTTGTTTCAGACTGCTGTATTTTTTATGCTTTGTTGCAGAAACCAGTTTCCTGTTGGGAAATGCACAGATCGTTGAGTGGCCGGTTGTTCACAGCAATGATGGATTCTGCAAGCTGTCTGGATACCACAGAGCTGAAGTCATGCACAGGAGTAGCACGTGCAAGTAAGATGTTTTGTGTATTATAATGACGTGAATGTGAACATACAGTAGAGGGTTTATATTTAAAATATATATATATTGGTTGGCTCCATGTGGTCTAATGGTGCAGGTGTTTTGCATCAGGACCCATCAAGCAATTGATATTGTTTAAGTGAATATTGCACAGATAGATTGGAGTGTGCAGACGCTTTTTCTATTTCACATTGGATCTCAGCTCCAGCACTTCCAATAAGCCTTTATTTGGTGAGCTGGGATTTATTTATTATATCTGTTTGTTTGACAGGGACTGCCCTTATTTATCAACAGAAGAAAAAATGTAAATGAGCCAGATTTTTCTGGTCTGATCATTATAAGAAATATATCTTAGATCAACTAATTTAAAACAGACACAGGACCAGACATAAAATACTTGATCTTTCTGTTGTTATCTGTAGAAAATGTGTCCACTGATTAGCAGGAACAATAGAGAAATTTAGACAAAGTATTCAGTTCACTTACGTCTGTCTTTAATTATCTGACTTTCTTTTTTCATGGCCACTTAATAACAACACGCTCCCTTTTGCTTGTTGTTATTCTTTTCCCCTAATTTTGCAGTTTCATGTATGGTGACCTGACTGATAAGAACACTATCGACAAAATCAGAAAGACCTTTGATAACTATGAGTCCCAGTTCTACGAGGTGCTGCTCTACACAAAGAATAGTGAGTATCACTGCTACATTACATGCATGATTAAAAGTGTTTTTGTATTCTTATTCGTCCCATTTGTTTAGGTACCGTTTTCCATTTCTCTCACAACTCTCATTTGAATTATTTCCTACAGGAACACCAATATGGCTTTACATGCAGGTAGCTCCCATCAGAAATGAAAACGAGAAGGTGGTGCTTTTCCTCTGCACCTTCAGAGACATTACACTGTTCAAACAGCCAATTGAAGATGAAGCAACTAGAGGTAAGAGAGTTCATAATCTTGTATCTAGACCAAAGGGTTTCAACCAGAATGCATTCAGTCAGTGTCAGTGTAGTCATGATAAATTGTTGGAGTTCATCCATTTCTGGCATTTTCCATTCCTATTCCATATACTAAAGGGTTAGAACACATATTTATATCAAGTGAATGCTCATCAAGGTTCAACCATTGATATAAAAGCTCACCACAATGAAGGGTGCAGTGCAGCCGAAAGTCTCGAGCACACATGAATGGCTGTGACTTAACAGACGTTTGTTTCCTGGTATGTAACATACAACTGTCCAGGTGTTGTGTGTGCGGGTCACTGAACACTGGTCTCTGTGGTTCAGTGCCATGTCCCAGGGGATTAAGTGTGCCACTAAGACTTTTGCATACATCAAGCAGAAACAAAGGACACTCAGACCACATGGAAATGTATGAACATACTGACTGTACACAGAGGGAATAAAAGAACACAGTCCCTTTTTAATGTAAAATTAAACTAGCTGACAAGATTTGGCTGGTTTTACAGTGAAGATCTGAACACTGTCCTATTCAGCATAAAGTCAGTGTGCTATCATCTTTTGTTGCTGAATCACATTGCATTGTTGATTATAGAGAGGAATATACTGGAATGTTTAGATAGAATATATTTGGGTGATGTACAATAACCTTATGTTCCTTTCTGTACAGAAATGCAGTTAAAAGTCCAGATGTATTAAAAAGTCTGCCAGCATGATGCGTTCATGCACAATCATATATATGGGAAACATGACTTTCCCAAAGTTAACGTCTGTCTTTTTGTCTCTTAAGCCGGATGGGCAAAGTTTGCCAGACTTACCCGGGCACTGACCAACAATCGCAACCTGGTGCAGCAGTTACCACCGCTGAGCAAGGCAGAGGTCAGCCACAAGCCCTCCAGACTGGCTGAGGTGAGCAGCATACAGGTCTAAGAGAAGAGTTTGTTTTAAAAAGTATCTACTTCAAAATACCTCAAGTTAAATCAAGAAAGTGCCTTAAAGATAGAATCTTAAAAGAATTTTTTTTTCTCCAATCAAGACATGAGTATACTTCCCATTTAAAGGAAAAATCCACCTTAAAGTTGTATCGCAAGGTTACAAAGCACATCTATGGAAACTTTTGGTCCATATTGTTGCATGATGACATTATATTACAGTATGTCAGTATTACTAACCCAGCTACCATTAAGTTTAATGACAATTATCAGGTTAACATCAGAACACTCTTGTACACATGATTCTGTCCTCTTGACGGTAAATGTTCCCTCTCAATGAAAGGCTCTGCAGCTGGGATCAGACATTCTCCCTCAGTACAAACAGGAGGCCCCTAAGACCCCTCCACACATCATCCTCCACTACTGCACCTTCAAGACCACCTGGGACTGGGTCATCCTCATCCTCACCTTCTACACCGCCATCATGGTGCCCTATAATGTCTCATTTAAGACAAAGCAAAACAATTTGGCTTGGCTAGTGCTGGACAGTGTCGTAGACGTCATCTTCCTGATTGACATCGTGCTCAACTTCCACACCACCTTTGTGGGTCCTGCTGGGGAAGTCATTTCAGACGCAAAGCTGATACGCATGAATTACATGAAGACGTGGTTTGTCATCGACCTGCTGTCCTGTCTGCCCTACGATGTAATCAACGCCTTTGACAATGTAGATGAGGTGGGTGAATTTCAAACCTGCTCTTTAAGTGGAGGATGATTTTTTTTGGACAATTCTTCTCTTTGGGGATTGATTTATTGTTTAAAATGTCTACTAAAAATGGTACTTAACACTGCATATAAATAACAAGACATTTCTTATTGCCTGTCTTTATGAAGGAGGTCATCACATCTGCTTCTTCAGCAAGTCATCTCCGCGAGTCTTCACATTTCCACAGGAATACCACACGGACAGAAGACTCTGTGCTCACAGTAAGGAAAAGCTGCTAACAAACGTATTACTTTAAATTATCTTTTTTGTGATTACATTTTCCTTTATATATATAGAACATACATACAGAAAGAAACAAACTTCATGGGACATATGTGTCGGACAAACATGATGATAGTGGAGCATTTATATGCTAAAGAGCTTAATATTTCCCTCAGGAGTTGTGGGAGACCAAAACAGAGCTAAAAGGCGAGTGAATTATAGATTTACAGTTGAAATAATCTGCGATCTCTGAGAAATAGACAAAAAAAAAAAAAAAAAAGAATTCACACAATTTCATAAACTTAAGTTGACACATTTAGATTACTTGTTTTTTTCGGTCACCAGTCTAAAACCCAAAGTTTAATATCATAGAAGAATAAAAAAACAACAGCAAATAAACAAGTTAATTTTTGTTAAATTCCTTAAATGATTAATCGATCATTAAAATATTTGCTTATTAATTTTCGACCAATTATTTCACCTCAACGATGTCCGACTCACATCTTCCACCTGTATCTCATTGTAGGGTCTCAGCAGCCTGTTCAGCTCCCTAAAGGTGATCCGCCTGCTGCGGTTGGGCCGAGTGGCCCGGAAGTTGGACCACTACCTGGAGTACGGAGCAGCTGTCCTAGTACTGCTGGTGTGTGTTTTTGGTCTGGTGGCCCACTGGCTAGCTTGCATCTGGTACAGCATTGGGGACTACGAGGTAATCGATGAAACCACCAACACCATTAAGACAGACAGCTGGCTCTACCAGCTGGCCCTGAGCATTGGGACTCCTTACCGCTACAACGTCAGTGGTACAGGACAGTGGGAAGGTGGTCCCAACAAGGACACGTTGTACATTTCTTCTCTGTACTTCACCATGACGAGTCTCACCACCATTGGATTTGGTAACATTGCTCCGGCCACAGATGGCGAGAAGATTTTCTCTGTGGCTATGATGATGGTGGGCTGTAAGTACTTTCCAATATTAAAGGGTAATTCCAGTATTTTTAAACCTGGGCCCTATGTTTTACATATTTTGGTGTCTAATTGACTAGTAAGTACAAAAATCTTTGGGATTTGTCAAGTAGGCTACATCACCTCAGCTGGGAGCTGCAAAACAGGCTGCAATGTAATCCTTGGGGGCAAATGCACCCGTCAAAGTATGTCCTCTGAAAGTGCTTGTGTTTGCCACTGACAGGCTCGGACTGTCTGTGTCCGACAACATAATGGAAAGGATCCCTAGGGATAGACTGATTTGTAAGATCCTGTTTAACTAGAAACAGCTGTTAGATTCCAGACTCCATTGAGAAAAATTATAATTTTTCCCTGCTGAACACGAGAGTACCACTGCCTTGATCGGTTAGTTTGTTTGTACTATTGTGTGACTTTGTTGGTTTGAAGGGTTAGTTCGGATCCAAGTCATACAATAAGGTCATAAAAACACCAGAATTAGCCGTATTTATTCTAAATATTTTATGTCAGATGTGCTTTCTTTCTTTCTCATTGTAAAATTGCAATGTTTCTAAATCCCATCAAAGAAAACACCAAGTCTAATAGGTCTGATATTACATAACAAATAGTATCATTCTTTCACTACTGTTGGTATGATGGTTAATGGAGCAGTAAATACAGATACACACAAACGCTCTTTTTACCCCATGAACACACACATTTAAACAACTTCCAATTAACACAAGGCCTCCACTGTCTCCTGTATTCTTCCAAGCCTCTGACAAATAACACAAATATATCAATTCCCAGTGGACAGTTTGTCAAGTGAAATTCAAGTTAAGCTTTTCAAAACTGCTTAAATCAAAGTGACCTCTGTTTTTCCTTTTCAATGGACATACAGCACAACCGTGACACTCTGAATCAATCTGAGTAGAGGACAAACGAACAGCAGCCCCACTGTTGTTTCAGTGGCGTACAGTATGAAGGCAATATGTGCTGAAACACTAAAAAAAGAAAAGGTTGCATCAGAGTTTGATTATGCACTCTCTCTTCAGACATGCACCAGTTTGGACACTGGTATTTTAGCCATTATTGGTATTAAGTTCATGCTCAAGCCAGCTGGATGTTGTATATTTAACACTGTTCTGTAATGTGCCAAAATCCTTATAAAAAAAATTCACTATAAACATAAAATAGAATTTAACAATTTGAAGGAAGAAGAAAAGACTTTGTCTGAGCTGTGTCATTCAGGGCTAATATTATCTATATAATCTAGGGCTAGCTTAACTTTATTGTGGTCACGAGGTGTTGAACGAACTCCAAAAGCCACAAAATGAATGTTAAAGCCGTGAGTGAGGGAGTGGAAACAGTGGTTGTCCAACTTTTTGGGCGCCCCCCAGTCTATTAACCAGGTCCTTACTGCCCCGCATCAAATAAAATCTGGGCTAATTGTCTTTCCTCAATATTAATGTTGATTATTATTCTGTTTATTATTCTGTTATATTATTTATTATATAATTAATGTGAATTATTATTAAATTTTAGTTGTGGCTTTTTCATTTGTTTTGGGGCTATTGCAGTTCATTTGACACCTCTGGGCCTCCGTACAGCTAGCTATCTACAACAAGGGTGAGTGTGACTGACAGATGCCTTTAAAGAGCGATTATCTGTTATCTGCCTTAGGTAATTTATAATTGGCATATGCCAGCAGAAGAACATCTGTGTAGAAATAAACACTTTTAAATCTCCCCATCACTCTAAAGCAAACGATACATAAATCCTTTGAATCTGTTTTCATTTCATTCATGCATTCATTCATTCATAATGTGCCAGTACACACTTGCAGGCGCCGAAACAATCTGGATGCATTTACTTGCATGCTAGACTCGATAATGTGCTCCACAGCCCGGCTGGCTATCTGACGGCTGCCAGTAAAGCAACATATGGTGTAGATGTTGTACTTGTTCAGGAGAATCTACACAGACGCAAAGTACAATTGAAGCTCAGTAGGATCAACACATAACGGGTTCTTATGGATAGGCATGTGGTGGCTTAGTATTTTTAGCTGCTGCCCCGTATAAATGGTAATTTAAATATATATATATATTGATACAAAGAAGAAGGATAAATGAGACTTGTGGTTCACTCATTTTTTTTCTCTCTCTAAAATTCACCAGCCCACATGACAAGCCTGCTGTACACGGTTACACAGTTTTTGTTGTGGTGATCTAGCCAGGATCACCTTGTTAAACTATGTTAATGATATCAGTAGGACAGGAAGGAAGGAATCAGCCTTAGATCATAAAATATTCAGGACTGAGGCTGAATCCATCCCAGTCTTTCAACCTGGATTTAAATGAAATCTACTTTCCTTATTCATCAGGGACAATTCACATAAATTGATTTCATGATATGATACCAATGTGCCAGATTTATCCAAATGGTTAGTTTTCATCTGTTGTCCCAGCAGGGCACGTTAAAATAAGCAGTATATTTGTGATTAATCCAAAAAGAACCATTAATTCCTGGACAATGAAACTGCCATTTTAAATTTTGCATACATAAATATTTATTTTATGCTCAACAGTATTCTGTAATTCATAGGCTCACTTGACTCTGGTCGTGTCATTCACATTTAGCCGCAGCCTCAGTGTTTGAACCACTGGGGAGAGTTTAAGTCTCGGCTTTGTTGATAATAAAAAGTGACATGTTCAGCGCCCATCACAGCCTGCTCTATGAGGGTTTGTCTGAAGGTTGGTCATCACTACCCTCGATCAGAAAGGAACTGGTTTTGTGTTAATTCACCCATACGGAAGTTATTTGGGTGTGTTTAAACTCAAGGAATATTGTTTTTTATATTATCATATTGCTCTGTCACTGATGCTTAATGCAGAAGGCTACTTTCATGCTCATATAAACTGATAAAGTGAGTCCAGGTAAAAGCCACACACACATTTTTTTTTATTATATAAATTCTGTATATTTGTTGGTTTTGATTCCAGATCTGGTTGAGTTGAAGGTTTAGATGAGACACAACTCTGAATTAGATCAAGATCAAGCTTATTATGTAGAGTCTTGTGTAACACGAACTCACGTGTGATGCAGTGTTAGAGACTGTAGCATGTTGTATAACACTACTGTCTTATAAACAGCTGCCTTAATAGTCTTTCAGAGTCATATTTCTACATTTACATTAAAACTATGTGTCATTTAGGGAGAGCTGAACGTAAGTCACCATGTCAAATGTTTCATTCACAAAAATGAGTCTAAAGTAAAATTCAAAGCAACCTCCTTTAAATGACTTCAAACCTCTTTATAAAAATAGAAAATCTATTTATATCTATTTGTCTTATTTTCATCACCCACTGCAGTTACAGTAATAGCTTCACCTTTAGTGTCACCGCCTCCATTGTCAGCCTTTTTTTTGTTACAGCTCCTCCATCACGACTCTTCTTCGCTCTCTAACCTTTGGCCCACTCCTCTAAAACAGCATGTAAAATGATGCAATAAAACAGTGAGGGAAACCCAAACTGACAGCCACGCTTCAAGGTTTGTACTTACAGAAAGTAAACACCCAGTACTCTGGTGGTGTTTCGATCACGAAGATCACTCAGTCACACTGAGCTGTCTGGTTCAATTACGGCCGATAAATCTCCTGTTAAAGATACAGTAATTATGCGAGAGGAATAGGAAAAGCAAGAGTTTGCCTGCAGGCTCGAGTGTAGTAAAAGGACAATGAGCCATCACGTTAGATATGTATCCTAACCTCTGTGATCCTGCTGCGGCGACTGGAGACGACTCTTTCCTCTTGAGTGGGTAAAACCTCACGATAAGAGATACTGACTGACTCTTTGAGGTCACTGCAGTGCTGCAGCACAGTACTCTTACCGAGGAAATGTGCATAATGAATTACACTACAAAGACTCAATCCACCACTTGTTATACGTTTGTGTGTTAACTGTTAAGAGAACTAAGTATACAGTGGTATGCTGGGACTGCAGAATATTTACAGCAAAGTAAATTATTTAGCAGAATCACATAATTTACTATAATGTGCCAAATGATGGCAAAAGGATCATCAGTGAAATATCATTGTTTACTTTATTCGTATTTATCCAGCATTATGTCACATGGTCGCCAACATTCACTACAATATTTTTATTATGAAACCAATTCCCTTAACTTTTACCCTTAAAATTCAATTAATTTACATATTAATAATTATGTAATTAAGGTATTTTGATGAGAAAATATGATAATATTTTCCCTCATAATAGATAATAATAGATAATGCTTTGTAATACATTTATTGACAGATTATAAGCAAAGTTTGAGTTTAACCCCCTAAAATTGTCCCCAAAAACATGAAAATAGTCTTTTAGTTTATACCTTTTACCTTAAGTTTGAAGGGTTTTTTACTCAGTAAAGACTAAATATGCATTGAATATATTTATATATCTTACTATGTTATTTTAACCTATTCCATGATTATTTCCATGGTCAAGTTGAGCTTAATTTGCACCATAATTAAAAGAAAATAGTCCATTAAAGGTGCAAGTTAAAATGTAAATGTTACGTTTTTTTTCTGTTTCTTGTTTTAAAAACATGCATATAATCCAATAAAAATACTTGAAATATGTAATACCGAATAATTAAATCCAATTTGAGGTGACGTAAAATATAATAAATATTTTGACCTGAAAACATTTCAGACCTTTATGTGAAAGCAAAATCTCAATCGTCCCAAATGATTTACTAGAATAAAACCTATCCTCCTGTCCTATGGTGCTGAATAAATCAGCCCTACATGTCCCCCTGTTTGCAAGGCTGCTTTGTTTTTGCCTGACTTTTGCTCGACGTCTTTTGTTTCAGCACTGCTTTACGCAACCATCTTTGGAAATGTGACCACCATCTTCCAGCAGATGTACACCAACACAAATCGCTACCATGAGATGCTCAACAATGTGCGCGACTTCCTGAAGCTTTATCAGGTTCCCAAAGGTCTGAGTGAGAGGGTCATGGACTTCATCGTCTCCACCTGGGCCATGTCTAAGGGCATTGACACAGATAGGGTATGGATCTAACAAACGCCTGTGACCACAACAACACCTTATACTCATAATGTATCTGATTTATACTGTAATTAAACATTTTAGATTCTAGTTATCATAATGCACTGCTTGGACAGAGGTTTGCAGTGGCTATGTGTGTTTAAAGTCCAAAGTTGAACTGATGCACAGCTCTGTGCATCTGAATGCTATCATTTCAAACAGTATCATAAGAGATGTATGTGCGGGGTTGACAAACGTGGCAATGTGAACAATAATGAGCCTCAAAGGTCACAGCAGATCACTGAGTGCACTCACTGACACTCAGGAACTCAGTGAAACTTTGCTGGATCGCGTGCACCTAGAGGTTCCTGCAGCTCTGGAAAGAGATGCCAGATTTCTCATAATCAAAAAGTGTTAAGCTACGGCCAAAGTAACAGCAGATTTGTATTTTAATCAGCAATAATTAATTAAATAAAAGACACCCCGAGGAAGGCAAGTGTGTATTGGTGTGTTTTTATAATGTACTAGCCCACATTTATTCAAGGCTTGTTGTGTAACCATCCACTTGAGACTCTTGAGTGCCTAGAATTTGATTTCTATGTCACATCCTACCCATTGATAAGAGCATACAGAAATTAATTAAAGTAGTCCCTGGGATTGCTGACCTAAAACATCTTTCTGTTTCTGCTACAGTTGTTTTATCTTACCTTACTGACTCCCTTAAAGATAGGAAATACAATAAAAAACCTTTGACTGCTTTGAACCAGTAATGATATGTGATTAACTGCTCTCATATCTCACCATCTTTCTCAGGTTCTCTCAATTTGTCCCAAAGACATGCGGGCAGACATCTGCGTCCACCTGAACAGGCAGGTGTTCAACGACCACCCAGCGTTTCGTCTGGCCAGCGACGGCTGTCTGCGCTCTCTAGCTGTGGAGTTTCAGACCACACACTGTGCACCCGGAGACCTCATCTTCCATATCGGAGAGAGTGTCGACACCCTCTGCTTTGTGGTCTCTGGGTCACTAGAAGTCATCCAGGATGATGAGGTCATCGCAATACTTGGTAATCAAATGTAATATTATGAGTACACAAGGCCGCCTTTTATCTGTCCCTGTTGGCCGAGATAAAACTAGAGCAAAGGTTACCTGAGTGCAAAGACTTTCAGGTTATCCTTTACCTGAATATAAGCAATATAAGTTTTCTGGCTCACTGAAAGCTCTAAAGTTTACTATTACATCACTGTGGTCCCCTGAAATCTGTCACATGAGTTATTTCTGTCAAAGAATTCAACACTTTCCCCCGTTCTAAACACAGTGATAATGTCTGGCTCCATCCAGGTAAAGGTGATGTGTTTGGAGACGTGTTCTGGAAAGAGACCACGCAGGCCCGGGCTTGTGCAAATGTGCGAGCATTGACTTACTGCGACTTGCACGTCATCAGGAGAGAAGCTCTGATGAGGGTGCTGGACTTTTACACGGCATTCGCCAACACGTTCTCCCGCAACCTCATCCTCACCTGCAATCTACGAAAACGGGTAAAAATGACTGAAACTCTTCAACTCCTCCTGGAAAATGTAGCTGTTGTTCACTGATGTAAAACATTGTAGTTGCTTTAAAACCAGTAAACCAAAGATTATTTATTGATTTTTAAATATTTGTTTGGGAATTTTATGTCTTTATTAGAGAGCAGAGAGTAAAAGTTTAACAGGAAGTAAAAGTCTAAAACCCTAGACTGCCAAAGTGCCCTGCAGTGGTGGAATATAACTAGGTACTTTTACTCAAGTAATGTAAAAATTCAGGGTACATATTATTAGTATATACTTATTATATATTATTAGTTTCTATTTTAAGAAACGTTACTGCATTTTTCTACTCAACTTCATCTCAGAGGTACATATAGTACTTTTATTCCACTACATTAGACAGTTATAGTTACTTCTTAAGATAAATAAACTATTTAAAATCTTTCTTGGTTTAGCTGAAAATGCATCGTCACAAAGGGCTGTTTATCTGAGCTCATGAAAAGTTTACTTTTTTACTGTGGTTCTCACAGCGATTCTTATATCTTCTTATGCTTTGCCGTAAAATAAACTACCCAACAGTATATAAATTAGTTCAAATTAGTTCAACCTTAAACAACCGCCAGCAGTAAAATGCAACGTCCACATTAATGATGCAGTAATAAAAAACATCATATATAATAGTAAAACACTCACAGGGACTATTTTACTGCAGAAAGACACCAGTGTGTAACATTTAGGAGGATATATTGGCAGAAATAAAATATAATATTCATATTAGTATGAGTGGTAAGTAGTAAGTAGAGTATAATCACCTGAAAATAAGAGTCATCAGAAATAGGTATTCTTTGATACTTTTATTAATATTTGATAGAGCTTATTCCATGCTTTACATATGAAATATGTAAAGCATAATGAATATTCCCTTTAAAGTCAGTATGGTACATATGATGTGCTGTGCTCTTTGTTCAGAACTGGCTCATATGAAATACCTCTGAGGTACAGTAGATTTAATACAAGAAGCTTGTGAACAGAGTCACATTTACTTAATATAATCTGTATCTCTAGAATAGCAACCCTAAGTTATAAAACAAACACAGTCATACTATAACAGTGTGTTTATAGGACGTCTCAGGGTTCTAACAATTTTATAACGTTTTAAATAACTATGCATTTAATTTCCCCTCTGACTTCTCTAGTTTGTTACAGCTCCACTATAAAGAGGTCTTATATAATCATATATACTGAAGTCAAACAGCCTTAGTGAAGCAGTTCAAATCTAAACAATTTCAAGGCAAATTGTGGCAACATGTTCAAAGATTTATGGTTTGTACTTAAAATATATTCAATGAAAATAAAGCCATCTATTATTCATTTGAGCAGCTTTAGAAACTGCATATGTTTAAGATTTACTCAGTACTTAATTGTTTTTCAGTTAACTTACATGTGCATGAATGAGCATCTAAACTGCACATAAACACCAGCTCAAATGCATTTGCTTTATTTTTTTTATCAGTTATTTTTTTTACAGCTGAATTTTTAACCTTTTCCTTTGTTTGTGTTTTTGCATTTTGTGCGGCTGATTTGAGCAAACCCAAAAAAGCTTGTTGTGATGAACTCTCTTGCTCATGGGCAAGAGGATTAGGCCAAGAAACGTCCAGTAATAGTCTCTCACGCTGTGGTTTTGAATATAATAATCTACAGATGAGTTTTAATATTTTAAAAATATGTTTTAAAAGAATTTGACGACTGGTAGTTTTTTGTCAACATGGGGTATTTAATCATTAATATACCAATCAATCATAACGATCAATTTGGAATTGTCAACAAAAACGAGAGCTCATTGTATTGATAGTTACTATCACAGTTTCTTCAACATCATCGATCAAAATGCAAAGTCCAAGAAAGAAAAGAGAGAAGCTGAGACGTTGTATCAACATTTCCTTTCTTTGTCTTCTGAGAGAATCAGAAACTCTCAGGGACTTGATATCACTCCATTATTGCTCCATTTACAGTTTCCCTTGTGCATTCCTGCTTTCAAGTCTTTAATATTTCAACATACATACTGCAGCAGGTCTGGATGCTTACCCTTGACTTAAAGCTGCATTATATATGTATATTCTGCAGAGTTTACTATTGTAATTTAAATGTGTATATCCCACTCTCCTCTCATGCAGAGAATCTTCAGAAAGATTGCTGATGTGAAGAGGGAGCAGGAGCGCCAGAGGAACGAGGTGGCTCTCTCCATTCCTGAAGACCACCCGGTACGCAAACTGTTCCAGAGGTTCAGACAGCAGAGAGACGCTGAAACACCAGGAGAGTCTCACACTTACTTTGATCATAACTGTGTGCAGGTGGAGCCGCAGCACCACCATCACTCTGACTCAAACTCTTACACGCAGTGTCAGTCTGTATCTTCTCAGCAGGAGTACAGCTCCACGGTGCAGAATAATGCACCCTGCACAGGAGGAGGAGGAGGTGCAGGCAGTGTGGCTGCATCTCCACAAGCATTTGTCCACAAAGAGGAGTCTGAGCAAACCTGCACACAAGAGGCCGGGGAGTCGATACCAAGGCCTTGTGTGGAGAGTCAGCTTTGTCAGAGGGTCAGAACCCCTGTACGGAGCAGTGGTGCAGGCGGGGATGGAGCTGTAAGTGTCGTTGCCAGCGGCAGAGGTGGTCGAGGTTGGGCAAAGTTTAAAACCGCCGCTTCAGCCGCACCACCTGCACCACCCGCACCACTGCCTCCTGCTGTCCAGCAAGAAAAGCAGCCCCAGAAAGCAGAGGAGTGGCCAAAAGGATCCCAGTCCTCAGAACAATTAGCAGCTGCCAACAAGAACCAGGATTCGGAGGAGATGGCGAGCGCAGAGGGTGGCAACAGCGCCGGAGAAGCAGGTGAAGAAACAAGCGCCCTGCACAAAACTGACTCCTGTGACAGTGGAATTACAAAGAGTGATCTACGCATAGACCGGGCTGGAGATTCAAGAAGCTCCTTTGAAAGAAGCCCTATGGAAAAGAGCCCCATGGAGAAGAACCCATTCGAGCACAGTCTTGGGGTCGACTCCCTCAAACACACTTTCGTCCAGCCGGCGTCCGAACAAGCACTCCTTCAAGCGACCCTGCACGAGGCCAAGCTGGAGCTGAAGGGCGACATTCAGAGCCTGAGTGGTCGGCTGTCAGTCCTCGAGTCTCAGGTGAGCGAGATCCTCAGGCTGCTGTCGATAAAAAGAAGACTCTCACTGCCACCGACGTCCTCCCCGAGGGCCAGAGTGAAAAGCCAAGACCCGTTCGCAGCCTCCAAGCCTGTCACACCGGAAGTAGATGATGGGCCTTTTTGAATTCACTGATAAACAGATTTATAAGAAGCACCAGTTTGCATGTCCTGCTGGACTCTGGCCTGCCAAAGACATTTCTTGCATTAAACACTTGACTGCATGCAGAAATCCCTTTTATGTTATGTTAGCACTACAAAAACCCAGGGATTATTCTAAAAGACTTATGAGGCACTTTTATGATCCTGTGTGTGCTATGTTTGAGAATGCCAAGAAGGAACCGGAACAATTACTGAACAAACAATAAAAAAACACATGTTGCTTTATTTATTGCTAGGGAATTAGTAAATTTTTTACAAGCATTATAAACCAACGTAGAGCTACATATCTCACGTATGATTCTCCAATGACGGCTTTTGTTAAAACATCTTAGCCTGATGGGACGATCAGTAAAAATATTGAGGTCAAGGCACATTTTAAAGGATCAGTGTGTAGGATTTAGTGGCATCTAGTGGTGTAGTTGCAGATGATCGCAACTCCCTGGTTAACTCTCCAAGCACAAAGGAGAAAATATAGTGCACAGTGCACTGAAATGTGTGAAAAACACCTCTATCTAGAGCCAGGGTGTGATTTGTCCCTTCTGGGCTACTGCATAAACTTGGTGGTTCAACATGGCGGACTAATGAAACCGTACCTATAAATATTATATTCCATTTCTGCCAATAGATCCTCATAAATGTGACACACTGGACCTTTAAGTCTTTTTGTGAAGCTGTCATCTTCACGATCTTCCTGGACTTCTTTCTGGATGTTAATTTACAGTTTTTGGCAGAACACCTGACCAAAGGTTTAAGGGAGATGCTTCACCAGCTATAACCTTCATTATTATTTAACTTGCTTGTGTCTTAGAGGAAGCAGCTCAACAGATTGGAGCTCAGTAAACGTTTACACAATCTCCCTTTACGTTAAATAAATGTCTCCCTTTATCTTATTTTGCAGGAAACTCTCAGTTGGTCGGCTTTTGTTGCTCCTCTTCTTCAGAGGAGTGACATTAGTGGCTACCTTTAGAGTTATTAATTGTCAGGTAATAATACGTGCCTTACAATAATAAAGCCTCATTCAGAATTGTTTTAATGAGACATAATCAACTCTTTTAGGGTTTTTGAGTTTTATATTATGAAAATGTTAACCCTGCACTGTGTATTACTTTCATTCCCATGCATGTTAAATAGGAATAGGAATGCAATATTAGTGCTTTAATTATAGATTTTTATTGTTAGTTATCATTAACTCAATTTTCCTGTGAAAGATTTATTTTCCTTAAACAAGATGGGAATATTTCGACAGGTAATTGCAGCAAACTTACTGTAAATCCCTCATGTGACTTCACTTCTTGCTCAGGTATATTTGATTGCATTTCAGTATTTATTTCATTACCAGTGATTTGTCTTTGTCTACTTGTAAGATTAAAGTAGTAATGCAAGATTTTAATGAGTCACCACACACTCGCTATGCAAATCTAAATGTTTTGGCTAAAATGAGAATGATGATGAACAAACTGCATGGTTACAGTTTTAGTTCATGTTTTTATTTATTTCCTTTCTGACTGTGAATCATCTGAGTATGAACTCTAAGGATGTAAGCACGTGACTGTAAGTCGAATCTATTTTATTTTAGATATATAAATGACCTTGCATGCATCCAGGGAACCTGTCAAGTGTGAAATGAATAATGAAAACTGATGCCTGCTCACCGTCTTTTGTTTATTATTGTGAATCAAAAACACTTAAAACTACAACACACAGACCGGGTTTCATCTTTCACCTGTGCTTTTGTTGATCCAGGTGAGTCAAAGCAGTTAACAGGTGAAAACTGTGGAGCTGTTTGATTTGATCGGTAAAGGTAAGGAAGGAAAGTTGTTCCTTCTGAAGCAGAAAAACGATCATGACATATATAACAGACAGTAAAGGTGGAGAGAGGGCACAGGGAGAGACATGCATCAGCACTGACTGCTTTTTCTGTCAATCATCAGCGTTGAAACATTAAAATATAGCTTATAAATTATTATATAAGTCTGCAAAGAATGGCTGGCAGTCCACAAATCTGGACTTTCCATTAAACTGAAAAATAAAGTTTATTGAACGTTTCATGCCCGCAGCCCTCCACGACACTAGGTGGCACTAATGTCTCATGTTATTGTCTTTGCACACTCAAACACGCATGCACAGGAGGAATGAAAGCTACTGAAGACGTGCTGCAGAAGTTTGATTCTAAAACAGAGAAAGTCTAAAGCTCAGGTGAGTTGTAAGGATTTAATAAGCCTTGGTCTTTTTACTGCAGTCTGGTCTCTTTACATTTACATACATATTTGCCCCGTTTAACTTCTGATTTACTTCTATTGAAGACCGTAAAACTTTAAAAACTAATCTTTGCTTTCCGATCACTGGTTCAATAATAATATTAGTTTGAACAGTTCGGAGGTGCAGAGAAACCAGCAGTGTGTCTTTAGTTTATCCTGTTCAGACTCCAGTTTGTAAAATATCATTTAGTCTCTATTTGTTTATTAAACCATTAATTAAACAGTTATTTTGTTGGAATACAACCTCCATAACTCATAACACAGCTTCTGACCTTTTGAAAAAGGTTTGGTTTGGTTGGTTTCAACAATTATAATACAAACAAGCAACAGGAGATACTGACATAATTTTATTACTCATAGAATCAAACAGTAGATGACACAGTTTCCTTTTCTAATAATAACAAAGCTGTTAAAACGATGGATTTGTGCTGTGATGTTTTTATTTAGATGACACCCCTCTGGTTAATGTTAATGACTTAAGTAAATAAAGTTGTGAAAAGAAAACCCAAATATATTCAATCTCAGTTCTCCATAAAGTTGAAGTCATGCCTCTAGAATTAATTGACTTTACAGGCAGCTGAGTAGATGCACAAAAGCACATTCTCCTCTTTATCAGCAAATGTTGTCAAACTTTATATAATTGCATTTAATTGAGGAATAATTAATTTATATTTCACTCTTGTGGTCACATTTAAGAGAGTAACAAACAACTGTGACAGCTACAGATCAAAACACCACTGAAATATTCAAATCCAGCCTCTGAATTTGGGTGAAACTTTTCTTCATTAGCTGGTCTGAACCCAGTTACTTATGTGGAATCTGGCTCTCATCATCTTATAGTGATGATAGATCATAAATCTTGAGTGTTAGCCAAAGTTTGTTGAAGCCCTCAATAGATTGTCTGCAACGGCCTGAACTCTTACTTAGGTTGATTACTGTGTGTCAGCTGATTTGTGCTCATTGAATTGAATATTTATTTGAGAATATTCATCACTAGAGCGCACCATCAACTGACGAGGGTTGATCAGTGTTGATCAGGTGGGTTCTGCTTTATTACCTGGTCTTGAGGTCCTGTCTCCTGTGCCAGCATCTAGTAGGAAGACAGTTTTGTGTTATGTTGCAAATTAATATGTTAGATTTTTTTTAATTAAGGCAGTATTCAGGCATTTAAAAACATACACATTGCACAGAGAGTGGGAGATAGAGAATGAACCTGAAATATTTAGCAAAAATACGGTTTTAGTATATGATATTATATCCTTCCTTAAGGTAGTATTTTTTGTAGTTTTAGCCTGGTGTACTTAACAACTGAATGTTTGTTCCTGAATCTGGAAACCTTTAAGAAGAGCTGTTAAATTATGTTTGAAAACTGCTGAACTGTGTCCAAGAAAATAGTGAAAATCCGTCTGTATTTTGGCCTAAAGTATTTGTTTTTAATTCCTCTTTTAGTGCTGAGATGGAAATGCAGCTTCCACCTCACGAAGGAGCTGAGCTCTCAGTGGTCGACATGCACACAGGTGGAGAGCCTCTACGAGTCATCCTCAGCGGCTACCCAGAGGTCAAAGGTGACAGCGTGCTGTCCAAACGCCGTTATGTCCGGGAACATCTGGACCACCTCAGGAGGGTGCTGATGTTCGAGCCCCGGGGACACTACGACATGTACGGTGCCCTGATCGTTGACAGCGAGTTGCCCAAGGCCGACCTGGGGGTGCTGTTCATGCACAACGAGGGGTACAGCACCATGTGTGGACACGCCGTCATCGCACTGGGACGCTTCGCTGTGGACTACAAACTGGTGAAAGAACCACAGTCGCCTGAGACCCAAGTGAACATACACTGTCCCTGCGGTCTGGTGAAGGCGTTTGTTGAGTATTGTGACGGTAAAACAGGAGGAGTGAGGTTTCTCAGTGTGCCAGCGTTTGCGTTTGCAACAGGTAGGACCCTCAAAACTGTTCGCAGGTGGTTTTTTGTCCTGCAGGACTAACTACATGACTTTCCACCAGATGTGACGGTGACAGTGGAAGGGTTTGGGGATGTGGTGGTCGACATCAGCTACGGAGGAGCCTTCTACGCCTTTGTAAACGCCCAGAGGTTTGGCCTTGATGTGACCAAGTCCAGGACTCGAGATCTGGTGGACGCAGCCACAGCGGTGACCAACGCTGTCAAATCTCAGGTAAGAAGTTCATATTGTTTCCTGTGTTTAGTCTGTACACACCGTGATCTCAGTGCAGACAAAGGAAAACTTAAAAACAGTAGAGATAGAGGAAAATTCAATCTTGCTTCCATATCTGTCGAAGGTATACATCACTAACAATTTTAATAACATCCATAATTTGGATTCAGTGCGAGGGAAGTGAAATAAAGAGTTACTTACTTTGATTTTATTTAGACTTAAGGCACAAGTTAAAGTTTAGACTAATGAGAGGGGCTGATTTACACTGGAAATCTTCTGTAGTGAAGCTTTAGTAGGGATAAAGGACATTTATATTATTACAAATTATCCCGATAATTAAATTACAGCTGATAAACTATTGGTCCATAATTATGATAAAAAAATGTTTTCCTTCTTATGCAAGACAGTTGTTAGCCTTTGTGCTCTATGAAAGTCAAAGTATATTTGTGATGTTTTTTGATACTTTAGTAGAAAATAAAATAAATGAACATTTAAACAACTGTTGGTTGGTAATTGTTGGTTATCAAACCGTCTGAAAAAGAAAATCCATTATTGTGCATCCCTACTTTTTCTTTTTTTTAAATTTACAGTTGTCTTGGTCATCACAAAGCATGACTATAAGACATATGACATTTTTTATACATACATACATCATTTTTTAAAATGTATGAAATAAAGACACAAAAATAAAAGATAAGGTAATATCAGTGACACACAGTGCAAGATTGTAGATAGAAAGTCAGAAGCTGCACCCAGATCCCCTCCACGACCAAAAGTATGTAGTGACCAGAACATTGTACCCATGTAAGATCGAGATGTGTCACTGATTTCAGGAGTTGAAGCCAGGGCTCTCACTTGGTGTTACAGTTCTTTCAGTGAGGCTGAGGTCAGGGTTAGGCTCCATGCAGGCCACTCAAGTTCTTCCACATCAAAAATAACCCAGTCAAGACCAATCAGGACCAAAAATATGTAAAGGGAATGTCCACATACATTTGGCCACATTTTGTATGTTCATTTCAGTTTATTTGACGTTTTCTCTCATAGGTGAAGTTGCACCACCCGACCAGCGACGATCTGGCCTTCCTCTACGGCACCATCCTCACCGACGGCAAAGATAATTATTCCTCTGATGCCACCGCCAATGTCTGTGTGTTCGCAGAAGCTCAGGTATCTTACCACTTTGTCACTTTAAGGAGAGCAGTAGGTACAGAACAGACACTGGCTGTCGGGTTTACTAGTATTATCTGGTTTTAACTGGTTTAAACATGTTCTCAGGTGGACCGAAGCCCCACTGGTTCTGGTGTTACAGCTCGAGTGGCTCTCCAGTATCACAAAGGTCTCATCCAGCTGAACCAGACCAGGATGTTTCAGAGTGGAGCCACTGGATCCCAGTTCACAGGGAAAGCTGTCGAGGTACCAGAGTTTTCTTCTTCTTCTGAATAATTCAACTACCTTTGATCATCATCATTTTATATATGAAATAACACGAATAGTAGTGCCCCCAAGCCAATTTGAGTTTAGGACAGTTCAGGCAATGTGAGCTTGCTTTCTATTCATCAGATATTAATTATTTATCAACAAACTACTGTAGCAAAGCTCAGTTAATTTGTATGTCCATGTGGGTGAAAGGTTTCTGTGTTTCTATCACAGTGAAAATGTGTCATCAACCAAAGGACAGGAACACTTTGAGATAAGAATTAGAATTATAGGACCTAAGAAGGAAAATCCACTTAAAAACAGATTTTGTTTTATAATCTGGATGATGACGTGAACATAACACATACTGTTTGAGCTATTGCAATGTAATGAGCTTTATTTGAATTCATGGCCTCCATTAGTGAATCAGGGAATGTCCTTATATCCCAAACAAAGTCACAGCTGTAGTCATATTGTAGAAATTTCTATTGTAGAAATAAAGCAGTGTGAACTGTTAAACATTAGTTTGAAAAGTATAACCTCTCTGGTGTTGTATTACAGTTGAAGTATTTTCTAATCCCACTGGTTGTACATGAAATGTAAGTATGTATTGTTTATAGATGGTTTCACCACATATGAATATTTCTTTCCGTTAAGTTTAATTGGTTCAAGTCACAAACCCTCAGAAACAGACAAAAGTGACCTTAAGTTATGGAGATGGAGTGGCAAAAACTGTTTCCGTCTCTTTTGTGTTTCTGTTCAGGAGACCAAATGTGGAGACTTCAAGGCTGTAG